GGAGATGGCCCCAGCAAGGAAACAATCTGCCACATTGTCCACAGGTTGCTGATCTCCATATCACGTCTCCTGAGAAGAAATGAACTCCCCAAAAGGATGTCTCCCTGTACCCTCTCCCCAGCCTGCAGAGGACTGGATTTGCCCCTTCCTCATCTAACCTTGTGCTGAACCTACTTCTCCCCTCTTACCTTCACTGACTGCATTTCCCTTCAAAATACACCTCTACAAACTCCAAACATTCCCTTCTGAGTGAAGGGTGACTTGCAAGCTGCCTGTTGCCCTGATCTCAGCCATAACCTTGGATAAGGCCGCACCTAAAGCCTTTGACACCAATCCTGTTCCATAGTATTTGTGCCCTGTGTTCAGGACCGGCTTGCTGGGAAATGCTGGCTCATGTGCTCTGCAAGTCAGGTAACTGGTGAAGTTGCCATGTTCCATTTTGCTGCTTCAGCAGTGCTGTCTTTCTGCAAGATCCTTAGAGGGACTGCAGTCCCTGTCCTCTTGTTCTCACGGAAATAATGCCTGCATGTCAAACAGGTAATAAACATGATGCTCTTGGTTTTAACAATTCTTTCTTTTATACATCGAAGATAGTTATGTTCTACTTCTTTTGCCTGTTGCCTTTGGAAACAATAAAATACTTAAAAGAAAAAAGAAACAGCTTTGTTCCTGTTGATAACCTGAATCCTGTTCCCGTTGATAACCACTCAAGTGAATGTATCACTTAACACTTATGACAATCCAGCTGGATGGAGTCATGTCCATGATTGATAGCTACACTTAGCAACTTCGTGGTTTTGATCAGCTGAGACAGGATCCAAGGGGATTAAATGCTGGATGACATCTCAGTGGAAACCATAGCACTGGGAACACGTTTATATGTTGGGATAATGGATGAATGTGCTCCTCCAATGCATAAATATTTATACTTCACAGCTCTGCTGAAAACAGACCTTTTTCAAACCAAACTGAAGGGAATAGCACTCACATGCTGAACACATAGACTCAGTCCCCGGCTGTCTGACTTTTGCTGACAAACAGGGTATAGCTTTTTTGATGCATAAGTGGCAAGACCTCTACCCAGATCTCTGCCTACCAGTGACCCTAACAATGGGGTGTCTTATATCCCCAAAAGCTGATGGCCAGTGCTTCACAAACATCTCCTAACCAAGTTCAACTCCTTTAAAGGACCTCTGGAGTTGATGAAGACACCTTTGATGAGGGATGGAGCCAGTCTGTGAGTGAACAGCTGTAGTATTTATGTTCTGCAGTGGGGAGGAGAGACCTGAGACCACAGCACACTTAAAATCAGGCAATGTACCTTTAATAGGTCTATAAAATTTAAGGAACCTACCAAGTTTTTTATATATATATATATATATATATATATAGGCCTTCTGGTAGGCACCAGGCATCTTCAGTTTGGGGGTTCCTACAAATCTGTCTTGATAGCTGTGTATTCAGACATTTCAGAATTGACTTCAAAGTCTGGATCTCCTCCATAGACCTGATGTCCCAAATGGCTTGTGCATTGGTGCCTCCTGCATAAACAACTCATGTCCCATTCAATATGCTGCTGCTTTATCACTTCCCCACTGCAAAGCTCCCTGATCTGCTCCAGAGCAACCCTGTATGTAACACAGGATGTCCAGACTTTCTGCCAAGGAAATCTGGCTGCTGAAGTGGTTAACTTCAGCTGTCAACATGGGCAGGAAGAAATAACCTTGAGGCAAAGAAAAGTCAACATTTTCCACAAGTATCCATCTGGCTAAGTTAAGACATTGTCCAACTATTCTTTTTATACAAGCATCGCTGCCTAAAATAAAAGTCTAAATGAAACTCTAGCACTGCAAACCTAAAAATTGTAGCCACAGTCTTTTTAAACTTAATTTTTTAATGTGGTATATATCCATACCTCATGAGTTGTTACTAAATTCACATGTATTTTACAATAAAACTATATTTGGACAACTCCATTTCTCTAGTCATGTTTGTAGGTCCCAGTTTTCCTGGACCTTTTACTACGTCTTATTACAAATGAAGCATTTATACCAATGTGCAATGTACATACGTGCTGAAAGGCTTCAAGTGTAAAAGGTGACACTGTTCTTGGTTCTAAGACCACGCTATTATCCTCACTGCAGGACATACGAGATAAATTTGGTATTTAAAAAACCAGCAATAAATAGCTCTTGAGAAGCCTGTTTTTAAAAAAGGTACTTGTTTAGAACTTCTGGAAAGTCAACCTGCATCCATGGGAGACAGATTACCAGGCAGGGCATGGAATCTTAGGTGTGTGCAAAATTGCACCCAGCTGCAGTGTGCACCCACACTAATGACAATCCATCTTCCAGCTCGTTCCAGGATATCGCTTGCATGTATAGGATTCACAGAATGGTTTGGGTTGGAAGAGACCTTAAAGATCATCTAGTTCCAACCCCCTTGCCATGGACAGGGACACCTTCCCCTAGACCACATTACTCAAAGCCCCACCCAACCTGGCCTGCAACACTTCCAGCAATGGGACATCCACAAATTCCCCAGACAACCTGTTCCAGTGCCTCACCACCCTCACAGTAAAGGAACTTCTTCCTTACAGCTAATCTAAATCTACCCTCTTTCAGTTTAAAGCCATTACCCCTTGTCCTATCACTACATGCCCTTGTAAAAAGTCCCTCTCCGGTTTTCTTGTAGCCCCCCTTTAGGGACTGGAAGGTTGCTATGCGGTCTCACCAGAGCCTTCTCTTCTCCAGGCTGAAAAACCCCAACTCTCTCAGCCTGTCTTCATAGGAGAGGTGCTCCAGCCCTCTGATCATCTTTGTGGCCCTCCTCTGGACTCGCTCCAACAGGTCCACGTCCTTCTTATCTTGGGGGCCCCAGAGCTGAACGCAGTGCTCCAGGTGGGGTCTCACGAGAGTGGAGGGGGAGAACCACCTCCCTCGACCTGCTGGTCACGCTTCTTTTGCTGCAGCCCAGGATACGGTTGGCTTTCTGGGCTGCAAGCGCACATTGCCGGGTCACACTGAGTTTCTTGTCAACCAACACCCCCAAGTCCTTTTCCACAGGGCTGCTCTCAATCCACTCATTGCCCTGCCTGTATTTGTGCTTGGGATTGCCCCAACCCATATGTGAAGCATTTACACTACACAAGGTATTGATGACATTACTAAGATATGTCGTCCTCAATCCCAAAAAGTGTCTGCAAGGTGCTGACCTCCATCAGCTTTCTCACAGACCAGAACTGATTCTCCTGTCAGTAGAGAATAAGAGGGAAGAATACCAAGTATGTGCTTATCACAGTGGATTCCACCAGTGGTACCCCAATAGGACCTCAGGGGCACCTGAGGGGTACTCACTGATGCTCAGCCTGCCACTGATGTCTAGTTTTGCTCAATTCTTACCTCTCCACTGTCCTTTTATCTTCCCTTCAACTTGTGCTGCCTCTGCTGTCCCTCTCCCTGCTTCCCACTGAACACCAAGTCTTCTGCCTGCTCAATTAATTCTTTATCTCCAATGTTTGCCCACCTAGCTTAATGATTTTGAATATTACCATGGTAAGAAAGGGAGAAAAAACACCAAGAGAGACATGGTAAAAAACAAAACAAAACAGTCACAGGTGCATCGAGGTAGGAAATGGGGTGCTCACACCATTCACCCTTGTAATGTGTCATCTAAATTAAAAGCCTAAACTTCCTGTTACAGAGAGATGCTCTTGTTTGGAAACATCCTCTGGGGCACCTCCTTTTTTCCACTGTCTGTATGTGGAGTTTAGCCTCTTAATTTAGGTAATAGCAACATGGATCCTCCTCCCTCCCACCCTGAAACCACCCAATAGTAACCACTGCTTTGCGATGGTGCAATAAACAGGTAAGCCATGGGTGTTAGAGGATGTAACTAAATATTCCTAATGAAAGAAACTAAACATCCCCCAAACCCCATGGCTCACCAGGTTTACTGTACCATCTCAAAGCAAGACCTATTCTTTGTTAAAGTCCCTGTGCACTTTCAGCTTGGACAAAGACATCGACATATCCTTACATGCGTAGGCTGAAGTGCCAATTACAGGATGGGGACTTTAGACTGCTGTATAAACAAGTGCTGTTGCGGATAATGCTGTTCCTTGATCAATACCTACTTTGATCAACTGATCAATGCTTTGTTATTAAAAAATATTAAAAAATAAAAGCACTTTACTGTATGGGAAGCTTACAGCTAAATGAATGGTGGCACATGAAGCACTCTTCTTGAAAAGTAGGAAAAGGTCAGCTCACATGCAAAAGCGACAGCAAGCTGAGAGATACCTCATGTATCTGACTGCATGGAGAAATCAAAAGCAACAAATCAAGGCTTGGCTTAGGCTAGCAGAGGTAACTGACTCTCTACAACAGTGATTTGGGAAATTACTTTTGCTGATTGAAGAACATTAAAAATAGAAGTGAGCCCCAAAATCAGGGGTTTTTTTTCCCCATGCTTTTGGAATTTTTTTATTATACTTCTGATAATTATCTGGATTATCAAAATGCTTAGAAGTCCTGGTTATTAGCTCGGACTCCACTGTGCCACAAAACCAGCCATATCAGCAATGCCACTCATTCAGCGGTTAGCATAAGGCATCAAAATTCACCATGCCTGTTCCCTGACCCCCAAAAAGCACGCAACTCCTGTGCAGAATAACAAGACTTCTGACTATGCTTCTCTCTGCCTGTAGATTAAGAACTACAAGAAACGGGAGTAGCAGCTGAATACCTAGATCACACAGTGTAATAAAAATCTGGTGGAAGTAAAGCGAAAAGAAATTCTGTAGGAATCTACCAAGGATCGTGACATCCACGTAACTCCCTATTTAAAACATACTCAAACCCTCCCTTGTTTTTGCAGACTAAGTACATTATACATTCCTGAAATAAAGCTATTTTTTGTCATCAGAAGGCCATTTCAATTATATAGAATCCTTCCCCCGAGACACTGTGTTATTTCTCCTTCACCATCTACCAACTTACCCTCCAGTGTACAGAAGCGTGTCACCTTCTCTGGCATCAGCTTTCCATGCTTGTGCTGACAATACACCTCTGCGATCTCCTGCCGACACTGCTTAGATTTAGACCGGGACATGGCTGAGATTGCCTCTTTGCCTGTTACCTCACACTTTGGTGGTTGGTCGTATCTCAGTTCAGGGGAGCTGTTTCCGCTTTTTTTTAAATTATGCTGTCTGGGAGACCTGTGAATCTCCTTCAAATTGTTGTTGCTGCTGCTGCTGCTGTTTTTTCCGGGGTGATCACTGAATTGCACCACCTCATTGGAGTTCTTCCCCAGCAGCAAGTTCTCCTTCATCTTCTCCTCTTCCAGCTTCTTTCTCAAGTTCTCCTTTTGCTTGCTAAGGGGTTTTTTCACCAGCTCAGACTGGTGTTTTTGCCTTTGAGTCCTGGGAGCAAAGTTACTGTTATCAATATTTTCAAAGTCCTTGGGGACTGAATTTTCATTATTGCTGTCTGTTCGCATTTTCTCTTTCGGTCGGTGGGAAAAATAGCCATCCTATAAATGGGGAGAAAAATTATACTCATCTTACTAAAAATAGTCACATCCCATGCATTACAAGCATTTTTTACATGAAAACATAAATCAATTACAATCCAACATACTGCAAAAAAATCCCCACGTCGGGGTTCATAACAGAAAGACGGAGCTGAGAGAGGCCTCTGAGCTGCCCAGGTCAGTGCAGACGACCATCCCCTGCACCCCCGTCATCACCAAGCCAGAGTCCAAGCCCCATCTCAGATAGAGCAGGGAGGTTTTACACAGGTTTGTGAGCAATTATTAACCAGACTTCACCTGACAGGATTAAAAATCAGTGGCAAAACTGACACAGGCTTCAATGGAGCAAGAGCACATCGTTCAATGCGTTCCTTCACGCCTTGTGTTAATGACCGCAGTTCGGTACCCCAGGAACTGCCGCATTCCTCTGCAGAAAGCACCACGTGACTTTAGTCCAAGCTTTCCTTCAGCGAAGTAACTTTGCTACAACCCAAACCCTTCCTAGTTTTGTTTTTGGGGGAGTTTCTACATAATAAAACTTCGAAGAAGTGTTTCTCACAGGGTGCATTGCAGCTTTGCTGCACGTGGGAAGCTGTGGCAGCAACGAGCCCCGTGTGAGAGGGTGAGCAGCCGCAGACACTCGGGCTCCTTGGGAGGCTCAGAGCCAGGCTCAGACATCAGCTCTTAACCACCACGTTCCTCTTCTCCACGCTTTGATAAATACACAGATCATAGTGTTGCAACGTTTAAAATAGATCATATAAAGGAAAAGGAACAGGCCATGTAAAATATTTGTCTGATGCAGAATAATGCTTTGCTTTACCATTTCACCCCCGCCTCCACCTACTGCCACAGGAACTCATCCTAGCCCATCAAGAAAAGAGCAAGTTTACACCACCAAAGAGAAAGGAGGACTATCCCAAGGATCCTAGAGACAACAAAGAACATGGCAATCTGCTCTAGAAAAGATGTGACAGAGTAGAACAAAACCGAGAGCCACTTATATGTGTATAGTACTATCAAATGAGAACTTGTCTGATAGCCAGGGGTGGCTATCAGACCGCAGAAACTAGTCCTCAGGCTAGTGGGGGACATAATTTTTAGACCCGTGGAACAGGATCATCTCCATTTATTGAAGTGATCAACAGCAGACAAAATCATTGGGGAATTGTTATTATAACATCTGAAGACAGGAGTATAAATATTGATAGACTTTTTGAGTCTGTCCTGGTTTCTTTCTACTAGTTAAAGACCTAACAACCAAAAATCAGAGGCTGGTAAATGACTGCATCCACTAACAATGATTGACGGGAGCCACTCTTAGCACCTATGAACCACATTTTGTATTCAAAACATTTTACCAGCATTAGCTAATTGTCTCTCACATCTCTTCTGCAAGGAGCTATTTAACTGTCAGGTTTTGTAGAGGAAGGAGAGGGAGATAATGACTTATCCGAGGTCATGCAGGGAGTCAGTATCACTTTGACCTCTGTAGCTCAGCAATGAGAAATGTTTGAATAGTTTATTCATTAGAAGATGTGTTTCTGTGAGTGACTGAAGCGACTCTCTCTCCATGAATATCTCCAGCTCACAAGTAGCTTTAGCTACACAGAGCAATGTAGAGATGTTTAAAAAAAAAAAAAAAAACAAAACCAAAACAAAGCCCCAAACCAAACCAAAACCAAACACACAAGCCAAAACCCAAACGTTTTTCAAACAAAATATTTCTAGTTTGGAGAGAATATATCTTTTTAAAAAAAATTATGTTTCTAATTTTTAAGGGCACACATGAAATCAAATTCTTTTTTCTGTCATCTTCTTTTAAGGAGAAAAAAGAATAGCATTTTTTAAAGAATAATAGAATCATTTAGGCTGAAAAAGACCCTTAAGATCATCAAGTCCAACCATAAACCTAACACTGCCAAGTCCACCACTAAACCATGTCCTTAAGTGCCAAATCTACACATCTTTTAAATACCTCCAGGGATGGTGACTCAATCCCTTCCCTGGGCAGCCAGTTCCAATGCTTGACAACCCTTTTGGTGAAGAAGTTTTTCTTAATAACCAACCCAAATCTTCCCTGGTGCAACTTGAGGCTGTTTCTTCTTGTCCTATCACTTGTTACTTGGGAGAAGAGACTGACATCCACCTCGCTACAACCTCCTTTCACATAGTTGTAGAGTGATAAGGTCTCCCCCTCAGCCTCCTTTTCTCCAGACTACACAACCCCAGTTGCCTCAGCTGCTTCTCATAAGACTTGTGTTCTAGACGCTCCACCAGCTTCGTTGCTTTTCTTTGGACACCAAAGAGAAAACAAAACAAACAAAAAATAGTTTCAAGACAGCCCCCATTCCCATGAATGACCAAACTAAAAAAATAAAACAATTATTTTCAGAGCTCAGCTCCCTTCACTTAGTCTGTACCTCCAATGTATCGTAAAAGAGAAAGACCCCTTCAAACCCAGCAGCAAACTGAGTCAGAAAAATGTAAAGCTTATTAAAATCATACCCCAAACATCTCCACTGAGCCCCTGCTCTGAGACTTCAGATGTTTGACAGTCGTCATGTTCTCTTTGTTGTTCAGCCACCTCCAAAACCTCAGCTTAGCTATGTCACTTGTAAATTTGACTTGCTTTATTTTAATGCATTTGGCTCTTGGATTTGTATATGTGAAATAGCTCAGAAACTTTAATTGTTGTGCTGCCGCATTTCCTCTAAGCTGGTGCCAGAATTCACCTTTTCTCCTCATCAAATAATTAAATGGAAGATGCCCTGCACGCTTGTGCATACATATACGTATATATGGTTGTGTGTGTGTGTGTATATATATATATATATATACACAGCGCTATATGCCTAATTTAAATTACACTGACCACAAAGAATCAGAACAAACACACAGCAATTACCCTTTAAAACATATATACTGTTCCCTTTTTGACAGCAGGACATTCTACCAGCCCTCTGACGTAAGCAGGAACACACAGAGCTATCTGGAGTTGCAGATATCTGGATAGATAAATGAGAATAACTAAAAGAGACACAAAAGGGTTGAGGTAAATCTGTGTGGATGGTGTGATCCATAACCACAGTGGGTCACCCAGGACTTTCCCTGTCTCTTTCAACTGTTTTGTCCCCCAGTTATACAAAACTTAAATACAAGAGGCATCCAAGATGGTATTAATGCCATTAACATAAATTTTATAACCCAAACACAGCCTGAGCTATTCTTTATAAGTAGTCCTTAAACTTCAACAGGTTAAGTAGTGAAATACAAAGGAAACTATGAAAGAGCAAATATGAACTTTATTTGTTGCATTTCAACAGCAGCAGTATGCAGAGAGGACCAGGGACACCACTCCACCGTAACGCAAAGCATCCCTATCATTAGTTTTCATCATTAATACAGTTTAAAGCATTTTTTATCTGTAACTGGAGTTTTCCACCATGCTGCAACTTAGGGCCAAAATACCTGGCTGCAATGATGGGGCGGGAGGCGGGGGGGAATCTGTCTTCTCCATTAAACTCTTTCCATGGTCTCTAAAGGCGATGTCACGATAAGATATTTCTGTGTATCTTGGCAACATTCCCTCTCACAGGCTGACTCTTGCTAAATTATTTTTCTCTTTAAGCTAAAAAAAAAAAAAAAAAAAATTGCATCCTAATCTGTACAGCAAATGGCATGTTGATAAACGGGAAAGGAAGGGAGAGATGTTCACTGCTGTTGGTTTTCCTTGGTAATTCTTATTACCCCAGATGAGACTGGCCTGAACCAGAGCAACAGGCACATACCCTCTCATGTCCTAAGGACCCATGCTCTGCCCTCCTGCCCCATCCAAACCTCTCTGTAGCTTAAAAAAGCCTCGAAGGATGAAGTTTGGGCCACATTCCTCTTTCAAACAGCATCTGACGTGATACTAATGTGATGCTTCAGCCGGGATCTTCACTCTCCATATTACCACCCCTGCACTCATGAGTGGCCGGTCAAGTTGTGCAGCTCCCTAGGGACCAGTGGAGGCTGCAGCTCCCGGGTGTTTAGGCAGAACGTTCCCACCCGGCTGATGTACTACGCTTGCAGAGAGTGGTAGAAAGCTGTGATGAAACCTCAGGAGAAAAATGCAAAGTAAACAGCAGATTTACTGGTGAAAGGTTCACCTCTTTAAACTGTTTTCCTCCTTCAAGTGCTTTGGTCCCCTCTGGGAAATGCTCTTCCAAGACTACATGCTAGAATTTGAAAAGACAAATGAATTTTAAATGCTTCAAAGGCAGACACAAAATTAAGCTCGGCTGTAACTCTTCCCTGCCTGCAGGGACAGATAACACCACAAAACCTCCCTGCCACGGAGGACATGTGGTGTCTGCAGAGAAATCTCTTTGGGAGGAGCAAGGACTAAAAATAAAGCACAGTCTATAGAACAGCTGTACCAACCGAGAGCTATAGATATACATTGAAAAATAAGGATGTGTAATAAATACCACAGTTGGACAGTCAAATTCCAGCCTCACTTGATCCCACACCTGTTGATGCAAATGTTAAATGCCACAAACCCAGAAATCTCCATCCACCTTTAATCTGCATTTGTCTCTCACAATAACTTTCATCAAAGCCAAGCGTAATTTTTACAGCATAATGATTTCAAGATAGGATCCATACGTGACAGCAGAATGTACATGTTTGCAGTGCAGGGGAAATGAAACTCAGCACCCTGAGCTTAAAACAGCAGCAGCTGCTGACAATAAATTGTGTTCATTTGTGAAGTTCGGGGGTACAAACAAAAGCAGCACATCTGGTTTTCAGCTGGCTACGGGAGGATGGCTTTTACTTGCTCTGCAATATTTAATTTTCATGGTGCTGGATTAATTGCAGACTTTATTTGCCATGGATGTCTAACATATTCAAGTCAGGACAAAGTCATCTCAGGGAAAGACGATCTTGAAACCAAGCATTCCTGGTTCTGACAGTACCATGCGTTGTACATCAGCAGGTTTGCTGTTTCAAACAATCTTTTTCAACTTTTGTCTAGCTATTCATTAGTAGCACCTTTTTATCTCTCTCTGTGCTTGCAAATCACATTAAATACACTGAAAAAATGGAAGGTTATACCAGGATCAAATTAGAAGCGGAGAGCCTATAAATATAGCCTGTACATATCCACAGTCAAAGATGAAAGCAGTATTTTCAAACCAAGACCTGACACTGCTATTTGTTGTTGTTGTATAGACTTAATCTCATCCACAGAACACACAAAAAAGTTATTATGGAAAGCACCATTTTGGTCTTTGCAATAGAGTATTTCTCTTTAGAACAGACATAGATCAGAAGAGGCTTTATCCAAAGCCAGCTCATTTGGGAGGCTACC